TAAGGAAGCCCACATCAACTTAGAAAGGGCTACTACCATTTGAAAACCGATAAGGGCATTAGTTTCACAAGCGTGGTGTCTGAAACTGTCAAGGAACTCAAGATGGAAACTGTGTCAAGGAACTCAAGATTTACAATGCCGAGACATCACTAAGGGCTACTAAGATTTACAAGCAAGAATGGAGTTTCTGCGTTTCCGGTAACATTTATGTTCCCTGTGGAAAAAACCAAATTCAGATTCCAGAAGATACAATAAGAAAAAGATGCAAATCACTTAAAAGAATTCTGAGACAAGCACATATGATATATCTTCTTCTTTAGGAGATTCGATAAGATTTCCATCGGCTGAATGCTGTGTTGGAAATGGACCAGCAAATAGAATCCCTGCCTGACAGTTTAGCTTCATGTTTGCATTTGAAAAAAGCGGTTTCCTCAAGGTTGTAAAGGGATCAAAGCTTACAAGGAAAAAGAGATAAAGTCTACACTAGCATATTAGTCGCACACATCCTTCAGGGATAACTACACGGGAAGGCGCCTACATAAGTCGATATATACACACATTCTTCCCGCTCATTGAAGCGAGCATTCAAATATCTGTCCTACATTCATGCGTGAGGGTACTCCCAAGTCCTAATGGGTAATCGATGAGATAAATTAATAAGTGACTGGGTTCAGCGCAATGAAAATTTGACAATGTTCCACCTTACAACCACTCTTTAAAGTAAAAATGCCGGAAACTCATCCCTCTTGTATGTAGCAACGTAGAGACAACACCAAGCTTGTGTTTGAAGAAGATAAAACATTAAAAGAAAGGGAGCAAGTTCCATTACCAGTTTGATGAATCTAAATAGCGAACTCAGGGAGACTTGAGTTTCCTCTTTTTGGTTTTATTGATTTTTTTAAAAAACAAAGACTGAATGGAAAACAAAGACAAACAGCATTAGGACATAGAAAGTAACACTTGACTTGGAGAACACGAGAAAACAACAAACACCACGACGCGTTCTCCTAAATGTACAAGGATTCATTGCATCACAGTTTCATACATATTTCTGTAACTTCGACAGAACACACCAAACTCAACCATCAACTAAGGCTCTGCAGATTCAAAGCTAGCTAATGGGTCAATTCGAGCAACAGGAGTGCCTTCTAGTGGATGAGCCATGCTCAGGGTCAGATCTCCAGTCTCTTCCATGTTAACTTTTTCTCCATTGATTCTCCAGTCAAAACACTGTACCATTATTCCAATGGCTACTCCAACGAAGATATAACCTAAGTTTGACCCGGGACATCCTCTTCTTCCGCCCCCAAAAGGAAGGTAATTCAGAGATAAATGCTCTTTCTCATCCTCTTTCCCTTTTGAAGGAGATACTATGAACCTCTCAGGCTGAAACTCGTCTGGATCTTCCCATGAATTCGGATCTCTCATCACCGCATAAGTATTAATTATAATTGTTGTGTTCTGCGGTATGTTAAATCCTCCGATCTTGCGTCCTTCTGTTGCATTCCTCGTCAAGATTGGCGAATGCGGGTGTAGTCTTAGCCCTTCTTTCACCACAGCCTGCAAATATGGCAGGTTTGAGAGATCTGTTTCTTGAATCATCCTCGTTTTCCCGACAACAGATTCTATCTCGTCTCTCAATTTTTTAAGAATCTCAGGATGGTTAATGAGTTCCGCCATGATCCACTGTGTTGTCTGTGCTGACGTATCACTGCCTCCAAGCAAAAGCTCCTACAATGAAACAAATGAGCAATGAGATAAGAGACTTCACATATGTCGCAGCCATTGTAAAACATGAAGAGACAAAACTCAGAACATTACCACAAAAAGCCCTTTGATTTGGTTCCTGGTAATCTTATAATCGGCGTTTTCATCTGCACAAACTTCCAACAGAACATCGATCATGTCTTTGTCCTCTTTCTTGTTGGGATTCTCTTCGTGTTCCTTAATAATCTTCTCGAGCAATTCATCGTACCTCTGCGAGACCTCCATGATTTCCTTCTCAAACAACGAGATCCCGACCTTCTTGAGAAGCCGACCAACGGTGCTAGCTATAAGAAACTTCCTCGCCAAACTTAGTGACTTGGTCACCAAGTCTCTGATTTTCTTAGCTTCACCGTTCTCCTCTGAACATTTCCTCCCCATTATCATCCTGCAAATGCTGTTATTCGTCAGCTTCATCATTTCTTTACCAACATCAACAGTTTGATTCTTTTCCGCCTTATCAAACAACATAGCACCGAAAGTCTTGAGTTCTTCTCCACGGATGAGCCTTGTCCGCTCGATGGAATGACCCCCGAGAAGATTTGTGACTAAAATTTTCTTCATGAACCTCCAGTAATCTCCATAAGGGGCTGACACAA